GGGTTTTTAACATGGCTTCAAGAAAGTTCAAAATCTTGATCTTTCAAGGAAGGAAGGGATGAATGTTGAGAGAGCCACTGAAAACAGTAATAATAATAATTACTATCATCCCACCCAGGTACCCCGAAAGGTGTAGATTTCAACAATGTGAAGACAATCTTGCTGTCCATTAATGGGGTGAAAGCCCTTCACAGCCTCCATATCTGGGCTCTGACGGTATCCCAACCTGTGCTTTCAGTCCACATCGCAATCAGTAAGTCATACCTATGGACTGCTTTTGGGGCTGATGGATGTAAACCATAATGATCTGAGGGGATCATAGAATCCTACAATTATGGAGTTGGAAGGGACCTATAAGGCCATCACGTCCAACCCCTTGCTCAATCCAGGAATCCAAATCAAAGCAGATCGGACAGAGGGTTGTCCAAGTTTCTCTTTAATACCTCCAGCGTTGAAGTGTTAGTAATTGGTTCCCTTGTCGTACTGCTCTAACAGTTAATAAGTTTTTCCTGATGTATTCTCGAAGGCTTTCACGGCTGGGATCTGATGGTTATTGTCGGTTTTTCAGGCTCTTTGGCCTTCAGAACACGGCCAAAGAGCCCGAAAAACCCACAACGACCATCAGTTTTTCCTGATGTTCAGCCTAAATCTGGCTTCCTGTAGCTGGTGCCCATTATTACCTGCCCTGCACTCTGGGATGATCGAGAACAGATCCTGCCCCTTCTAGAGATGCTGGAGAAACCCACCTAAGCAAGGGATGTGGGAAATCTAAATTTGGCACGGCATGGGGGGAGGGGGACAGAACAAGGCGTGTACAAAGGGTGGCTGTGTGATGACCTAACAACCTAGCCCACCACTTGGAGAAGTTCCTCTCTCAACATACAGATCCTAGAATCCTTCAGCCTGGGGGAATTCTAGGACGTATAGGAGGGGAAATTGCCTGTTCTCTGCAATTGACCTGGGGAGAATAATTGTTTGACTGCTTAAAGGCAACTTAAAGCATTAATGAGAAAGATGGATCACACACAACCCACTTAGGATACTCTCCTGCACCAGCCCTGTAGAAAGGAATGGGGTCTGTACACGAAAGCAAGATTGTGGAGCGTGGCCACGCACTTCCTGGTTGATTGGGCCCCACAAGCGGGACCTTTCAGTCTGCCTTCCCCTCTGCGGGCCAAACTTTACACCTCGTGTCTCCTCGTGGATGAGTTAGGGAGCCATCGAGAACAAAAGCACACCCTCTTTTTCCTCTTCAAACTAACGGTGTCTTCTTTTGGCCACCCCCCCCATCTTCCTTCCTGTTGTGCACCGTAGACAAGGACGCCGACGCGCAGGCAGTCTTGAAGGAAGCAAGCTCCCGCCTGCAGGCAGCCTTCAGCTTCCACACCACCACCATCCAGATAGAGAACTACTCGGACGACATGAAAGATTGCCGGGAATGTCAGAGCCCTTCTGACTGACTTCTGGGTACCTGCAAAGGAGGGTCACCAAGCAACCTGAGAATTGATGTGAAGCCGCTACCTCGGAGTTCCCAACACTGTCAGTGAGGTTGGGAAAGTGACTCTTTTGGACTACGTGTCCCAGAATACCTTAGCACTTGCGGCGTTCTGGGTGCTGTAGTCCATAAGAGGTACTTTCTCCAGGTGTGTGTGGTGACTTCACAGGCTCCCTCTGGCCAAATGGCGATCTGGCGTCACTCAAGTGCCTCTTTCGTGTTATATTTGGGAGCAAAATCATTAATGGTTGTGCCTTGTCCCCCTTCCTTTCTCTCTGTTTGTCTCTGTTTTGCTAGTCCTTCCTTTCTCATGTCTGTCTGTTTTGCTAGCCCTTCTTCCCACTCCAAATACAGTTTTATAAGAATTCAAAATAAAACCGCAGGCCCTCTCTGCCTATTTATTGATTTGGCTGTGTGGTGTCTTCTTATAATTCTGAGATCTCATCTTTCTCAGAGCCTGGACAGTAGTGGTGACGGATTACTTTCCAAACTCCATAAGAAGTAACAAGAAGAAACTACTTCCTGAAAGTTACTTCTCAAGCTTCTGTGAGGTCTTCTCCAAGCAGTGCCCTTATTCTAGTAAAAATAACAGGTTCTGCATGGATTTGAATAGTATTTTCTCCCCTCTGTCTGTCAACGTAAGGCTTGTCTTACATTGTTGAGTAACTTTTACCATGGCTTTCCGTATTTTTTTTTATTGCATCAGATCAGTTTGTTTTTAGTTCTGCTTTATTTCTGGAGTGAAGGAGTTTACTGCTATGGTGGCTTCCTGTTATTTGACTCCATTGTCGGACGAGAGCCTCCCGGTTTGAAAGCTGTCAATTGAACGGTCAAACAAAAAAGCCTGAGGAGAGAAACTCCATCTTGGGTCCTTCTAAGGAGAACAGTGGGGTAAAAAAAATATTTTAGACAGACAGACAGATCAGAGAAGTACAGCTCTGAACTATTTTCAAAATAATTCTTAAGATAAACTGTGTCCTTTAAGAAAATTGAGTTCTGAAGAGATGCTTGGACAGACATTCTGCTCAGTTCTTGTTTTTCCTCTGTCATCAGCCAAAAGAGAACCCGATGGAAGAGTCTTAAATTTGAATACTTGCATCAAGAATGAAAAGCTCCTGATCTGAGTGCCTGGTGGAAAAATGTTGCCCAAGGAGGCTTTTAATGAACACTTTAAGGGCAGGTTGCTGGAAGGAGGGGGGAAGCCAGGAGCCTACAATGATCTCTCCATATGTCTTTCAAAGAAAACTGGCTGTTTACCTTGTTGTTGTTGTTTAGTTGTTGTGTCCGACTCTTCGTGACCCCATGGACCAGAGCACGCCTGTCTTCCACTGCCTTCCAGAGTTGGGTCAAATTCATGTTGGTCGCTTTGGTGACCCTGTCCAAAAATCTCATCCTCTGTCGTCCCCTTCTCCTCTTGCCCTCACACTTTCCCAACATCAGGGTCTTTCCCAGGGAGTCTTCTCTTCTCATGAGATGGCCAAAGGATTGGAGCCTCAGCTTCAGGATCTGTCCTTCCAGTGAACACTCAGGGTTGATTTCCTTCAAAATGGATAGGTTTTTTCTCTTTGCAGTCCAGGGGACTCAAGAGTCTCCTCCAGCACCACAATACAAAAGCATCCATTCTTCGGCGATCAGCCTTCTTTATGGTCTAGCTCTCACTTCCATACTTCACTACAGGGAAAACCATAGCTTTGACTATTCGGACCTTTGTCAGCAAGGTGATGGCTCGAGACTTAATAAGTCACTAGAGGGCCCCAGAGCCCAACTTGTCTGGTGGTAGCCCAACTGTTCAGAAGAACTGCACAACTTTGTGTAGTTGGGTAAAGCCGGACTGGATACAGAGGAAGGCGGAGTGAAAACTGGTAGAAGGAACATCAATAATTTAAGATAGGCGAAAAAATACCAATTTGCTGGCAAGAAAGCCAGTACTTTGGGATGATGGAGCACAGATCCTGCCACTCCTCTGTATGACAGCCTTTTAAGTATTTGAAAAGTGTTACCATATCCTATCACATGATAAATGTAAACATATTTCTTCTGATCAAAATAATCTCATAGGAAATTCTCAGATCTGTCTGACATATACTCTCTAAAGCTCGATAGTCAGATTTCTGTTCATAGACTCCAGCATGGACTGCATATCTGAACTCTAGAACAGATTTCTAACTCCGCCAGCTCTGAGCTCTAACTCTTTTGAGTGCTCGTATTCTTGCATAAGCTTATTATATGTAATTATATATACATGTTTACACAGAGAATGGGTGGAATTGCCCCACACAACAGCTTATGTAAGTGACATGTGGCAGAGATCTAAGGAAGCTTTTTGAAGCTTCACACTGCAGATGAAATAGTAGCGTCAACAATGGTCTTATGATGAGCATAGCTGACTGATCCACGCTTGTCATAAGACCGTTGCTGATGCTGGTTCCCTCCTGGATGTGCTCTCTGCAAAACGTGGAGGAGGGCAGAGACTTTCCTTGTAATGCTAGGAAAACAGCCTCTAGGTCAGGAAGAGGCCAGAAAGCCACGGCCACCTGGGGCCCCTTTGCAGGAAACGTCGGCCGAAATCCTCTTGTGCAGCATCATGCCATGTAAGATTGATGATGTCATCAGGTGTCACCATTTTTGGCAGAAAGAAAAGATTTCTGGTCCAGGATTTCTGCCACATTACTGACAGCCATATGGCCTTGGGAGGTGTGGGAAAAGTTGCATCCAGAATCCTCCAGCTAGCCCGGCGAGTGAAAAATACGCCCCACCGTTTCTGTGATGCCTTTGACCTCTTTCCCCTGGCTGCCATCAGAGCATGGAAAAGTTACTTTTTATGCCTCCAGCTTTCAGCGTCCCAGAGCTGGCCTGCCACACTGGGCTGTGCTGGTTTGGGAGATTCTGAGAAGTATCTGAATGTACCCCCACCGGAGAAAATCAAGGAGGAATTAGGTTTGCATAAAATGTGATTCTGTAGTTTCGAATCTAGAAATAATTCCTGTGAAATAGAAATGCCCTGTGAGCTGTATTTTTTTTGCCCAGACTGCTGTTCTGGTGGTAGCTGCGGATGGACCATTTCCAAGACTCATCCAATAGTTCTGATCCTTAAATCAGATGTGGAACAAGCGGCTTTTTAAACAGAGGATATAGTTTCAAAGTGAAGATTATCCTTGGGCAGCCCTTGTAAGAGGATGTATGGGCATCCTGTCTAAGCAACAAACCATGGTTTAACACAAACCATGGCTTATAGTGATCAGTGAGCATGCCCTATGTTTGTAAGAAATATCTCATCTTGTAATGTATTCTTTTTAGAATGCTGCATATGAGTGACAGAGAACAGCTAGAAGCCCTGTATTCTGTGCTTGTATACAAAATAATAATTATGTTCCATCAAGCTAATTCTGATGTATGGTGACCCTTATCAGGGTTTTCCAGGTAGACAATACTCAGCAGTGGTTTCCCCTTCCCTTTTTCCTGGGGTCCCCTGGGATTGTGCAGCTGGCCTATGGCTACCCAGGTTGGCTGTACTCAGAGGAGGCACAGTAGGGAATCTAACACCCAACCTCTGGTTCTGAAACCAGGTACCTAAACCACTGAGCTATCCAGCCAGCTGCTTTCATATACAGTATATATGTACAATATATATATTTAAAGGAAGGATTTGCATGCAGGAGATGGTTCACTTATAATATCATCAAGCCAGAAATGAGATGAGAGAGCAGGATATAAATAGGGTACAGTAGTCTAATCTACCATCAATTTCATAGACAAGACAAATATTATATTTTAATGTTGCCCGTTGTGTATAGTGTATGTTTTGTTATTATTGCATACTGCTTTGAACTCTTCAGACATACACGGTCCATAAATACGGGTAAACTGAATACATATAAGCCAGCCTGCCGGGCCTGCCAGCAAGGTCCCTGAGAAATGCCAGTGATTTAATCCAGTGGATTTATATGACATTCAGCCATAGAAAGAAAATTCTATTAAGCCACAGCTTCTCCCTTTAAAAGACATCTGAAATCCAAAGAGGGCATGCTTGCTGATTTCTAAACAGCCAAGCCAAGCCAGGAATGATGGATTTTCTTTTCCAGCACGATCCACACGGAGTTACTCACAAATAAAAGCCATGTTATTTATGCCCTGTTTGCGAGTGTTAATCGTATGGGGCAGTGACTGCTCCAGACGGTTTACGGAACGATTGCTTGGAAAAGAAATCGGGTTTGTTCAGGAACAATTCCCAGGCCAGCCGGCCTCACGGAAGTGGCTCTTCGTCTTGCTTAAAGCAGCTCACAGCAGGGTTTGTGAGATGCCCGGGTGGATCCGAAAGGAAGGACAGCAACGTAAGGCAGCAACTTCTATAAAAAGAATGTCACTCACTGGGCATGGATGTGAGCCATCCAACCAACTTATTATAAATTAAGTGTCATCACAAATCCAAATCCCGTTCATCATATGTAGAATAAATTTGTACAAATATTGACCCCAGTTCCTTTAATCTAGCAGCAAACTCTGTTTGCTTGTTTCAGGCACGTTTATTTATTTATTGGACTTATATACCGCAGCAAACTCTTTCTGTTTGCTTGTTTCAGGCACACAGGGCCTTAGATCTAATCTTCCCTGATTACAAGAGATGGTCTCCTGGCAGCTGAAAAGTCTGGAAGGATAAAATATCCGGATGCGAGGGAAATTTCACCGCAGCCTTCAAGAAATCCACCAGGAAATGCTTGGGCTAAAGAAGGAGTCAGAGCTCCCTTCTCTTCCTTGGGCTTCATATTATCCTTTAGAGGCGTGTGATTATTATCATTATTTTAATAGACTGTTGCCAGAATATTAAGCAAATTAATATTCGCTACCTACCCCAACCTTTCTCTCCTCTGCATCCACCTCATTTTTATCTCCTTGTTGGAATTGCCCAGCCTGAGGAATGACTTCTAAATGACCATCAGAAGTCACTTCTTCTGAGCTGTGGGACCAACTGGGGGTGGATGGCAACTCTCATCAATGCCTGCCGGTAGGACCATCTGCCATACTGGCTATGGATGGTGGGGGTTTCTAAACTCAACAGATGTTGTTGTTGTTTAGTCATTTAGTCGTGTCTGACTCTTCGTGACCCCATGGACCAGAGCACGCCAGGCCCTCCTGTCTTCCACTGCCTCCCGGAGTTGGGTCAAATTCATGTTGTTTGCTTCGGTGACACTGTCCAACCATCCCATCCTCTGTCATCTCCTTCTCCTCTTGCCCTCACATTTTCCCAACATCATGAGCTCATAGTCAACTGACGGTGAAACGAGATGGCTGCAGTGGTCAGTTCAAAAGCTGGTGACTTCCCAGGCCAACCACCAACCACCTCCTCCCCCCCTCCTGTCATCCTTCAGGGCGCCAAAGACCCATCGCTTAGACTAGTCTCTCTGCCTTGCCTTGCAGAAAGGCTGCTAACTTACGTCACCCCAGTATTGATTTTTGGAAAGGGTTCTTTCTCATGTCGGCCACTACTGTAAATCATCATTAGCAGTGTCCTAATGCCATCAGCCAAGGCACCACTAGAACTGTGTCCTGTTAAAAGAAAGCTCTAGAGATGGAAACGTCTCTAGAGATAAGATATTCTTCTTATCAAGTCCATAACTGTCTTCAGAATTCAGCCTCCAAGTGTCTAGGGCTCTGTCGGGGGGTGGAGACCAGGGAGTCTGTGTACACCCTGCTCCCACATCCCCACTCCATCCAAAAGTCTCATAAACAGCTGGTTCAGCACAAAGGTCTGTGTCGTGGGTTCAACAGAATGTGATCACAGCGTTTCTCTGGTCTGCAACTCTGCCCTTTATCAGGTGGGGGACACAGCATTTTTGTGGCTCCACGTTGCCACCACTCGTTGAACCCTACAAATTTTCAGGCTGAACACCCGAGTAGTCTCGTTGTTCCTAAAGTTTCCTTTCCCCTCAACAACCCAGCAGGTAGGACCGCTCAGTGCATCCGTATGCTTGGAAAAGTGTCACCGATAGGATGTCAAAATTAAAGCCAGGAAACACGCAAGACCCTTATGATCTCCACTCTTTGATTTCAATATTTTTTTAAAATCCTAATATTTCACTCTGATTGCCCTTAAACACGTAAAGAACACATTTTCACTGAGCAGGAGAAGTGGGAGCGTTTCTGAGCATCTGCAGAATGCTGTTCCTTTCTCGACATAAACAATTCCCCCCACACACCCAGGTTTCTCAGAAGTTGGAAATGTCATCAACGGAGGGCCAGGTTACCTAGCAACCACCACTTTCTTTCTGTTTATTCACTGAGCGGGAGAAGCGAAAGTGTTTCTGAGCATCTACAGGTTGCAGTCCCTTTCGCGACATAAACAGCTTGAAACAAATGCCAGCGGGGGAATGACGCAGGGTTGGAGGAGTCCCCCTTTTTTCCACAAGCTCTTAGGGTGCAATCACATGGGACAACAGATAACAATCTGGACCGCTCGGGGAGCAGTCTGGTGTGGTCTGTTTCCCAGTGATCACACCACTTAGGGGGGAACGGCACTCCAAGCCTGCCCCCCCCCGCTCCAGGCCCAAGCTAGACCTTTTTGGTCCAGTTGTAGGGCTACTCCCTTTTGGGAATTGGGTTGGAGTCATTCCCTGGCAGATGGAAGAGTTGTGGCAGACGGAAAAGTTGTGTTCTAGGACATCACTCCCATTAAAGTGGCCCAGTATAATCAGGCGTGTGTGCCTTTCCCGCTGTCCGGTTGCACCTTGAGTCCCTGATTTTAAGGCCATGAATTGGAGATCACTGTCCCCCTCAGTCCTTCCTCATTAACTTAAACACCAAATAAATAGAAATAATAAATAAATAGGAACTCTGTCCATGCTCTGATGCTGTTTGTTGGATAGTTGAGCATTTATAGCTGTGGGAGCAGCTTTTGTCCTTTTCAGGACATAGGGTGATCAGTGTGTTTTTGTTGTGATAAGGCGGGAGAGATTATCTGTCACTGTGATTGATGGGTGTCGTTAGTGACAGATCATCTCTCCCCCCGTATCACAATAAAAGCACACTGATCACCCTATCTCCTGAAAAGGACAAAAGCTGTTCCCACAGCTATAAATACTTAACTATCCAACAAACAGCAACGGAGCATGGACAGAATTCCTACTCCAGTCCTCTGAAGATGCCGGCCACAGAGACTGGCGAAACGTCAGGAAGAACAACCTTCAGAACACGACCAAAGAGCCCAAAAAACCCACAACCCTCAGATCCCAGCCGTGAAAGCCTTCGAGAATACAATAAATAAACAACTTGAACAAGAGTAGAACGCTTTCCCTTTCCCAAATGATATGTTTCTTTTTTTTTTTAAGAAGGCATGAGAATGACCCTCCCAAAATTTGAATGCACAATCTTTTCTTACTTAATCTCCTTCTGCATTTTCAAGGGCGCGGGGGACGAAATTCAAAATCCGGCCAATAAATGTCAAGCCGAGCTCTGCCCCCCAAAAATGCTGGCAATTCCGTCTGTGATGTCGCCCAGTGCAAAGAGGCTTCTTGAAAGCAATCAAAGAGAGAGCAGAAGTTTCCTGCAAACCTTTATTTGTACTGGTAAAACCCAATAAAGCTTGAAAATTCCTCTGGCATCTCCATGGCTACCAGCAAGACGTGGTCCCACCTTCGGAACCCAAAGTCCCAAGGCTTCCTTTGACGCAGCGGCTTTACACTGCTTCCCTTAACGAAGCAACCCAGGAGTCCTAGCGACCATGAAGAACAATGACCAATTGCATGGATGGGCCTTCCATCAGGCTCCCAATCCGGGACACTGCGAAGCAGTATCTCCAGCAGGCGGAGGATTGCCCCACCCTAGTCTCTTTCTAGATGGCGGTACTTCTTCCGTAGCACAGACACTTGGTCCTTGTAGAGCACGGGGTCCAGGCGGAACTGGGAATACACCAGAGGCATGTAGCCGAACCAGGCAGCAAAGCGGCTCACGCACTCCTGGCGCTGAGAGAAGCGGAGATTCCCGTTGGATGGGGCGGCACTCTTCAGCAGCTGGCAGGAAACAAAGGAAAGCGATGAAGGAGAGACAAGGTAGCTGAAGACATTTTGCCGCCTGAGGCAAAGGCAGCCCCTCCCACTCTATACAGAGAAGCTACCATATTTTTTCCATGTCGAAGACTATACTTTTGTCTAAAATCTTTAGACTAAAAATTGAGGGTCATCTTATACATGGAAGTAAGCTGAGGAGAGAACAAAAACAAGTGGAGGGGAAAAGCAGGGATCAAAGCGATCCTGCAGCGCTTTGATCCCTTTCCCCCTACACTTGCTAATCCCCACTTAGATTTCTTAATTTTGGATTAGAAAAGTGGGGGGCGTCTTATACACGGAAAAATGCGGTAACTAGGCAGCCATCTTATGTCAGTACTGGTGATGAATTACAGCATTCTCCCATGCATCTGAGACATGAGGACAAGGCAGGGCAGGCTGTGTGACATACACAAGGCTGTCTTCCCACAGAGGAGAACAACTCAAGAATTGAGGAAGGAGCAGCTGCTACACCTTGGTCCTCCATTTGACCCCTGAACCACTTGCCTCGTGTCACCTAGCGGTAGGGCTGGCCCCAAAGGAGCAAGGCCGAGCTTCAGAATCATTTCTGCCCATAATCTCCCCAATAAACCGGTTGTAAAAATGCCTTTCAGCAGGCCAAAAGAGGTGGACACATTCTCTTTCCACATTTCACATCAGACGCCACACTTACAATTTGTAAAAGTTCCTCTTCCGGACTAAAACTGCCAAGATTCCCTCTGATCATTCCGGTGGGGGGCCGTAGTCCAAAAAAAGGAACTTTCAGAAATTCCAAGGTCGCTCTACCCCAGATCAGATGATTTAGACCAGTACTGTTTTTATTCTGAGGTGTTTTGGGTTTTTTCTTTCAGCTAAAGAGCAAAGGAAATGCTGGTGGCATTGCAGGCCCTTCCCCATTTTGGAGAGACATCTCTCTATACCAGCATAATAAGCCAAAATATTAAATCCTGGAATACAATATTCTATTGTGGGGAAATAAATATGGGTTTGGGAAGGGCTCACTAACTGCAAGCTCAGGTACAGAGAGAATGTGTTTTAAAAGTTAAAAAATTGCTTTAAATCTTTGTTTTGATCTTGATACCCGTTTAATTAGTCTTTTAATATGGTATTTATATGGTATTTTGGACCTGTTGGCTTTAAATCTTTGTTTTGATCTTGATACCCATTTAATTGTCTTTTAATATGGTATTTATATGGTGTTTTGGACCTGTTGGTTGTTGTGTGGTTTTAGCTGTTGTGAGCTGCCTTGCATCCCCTCTGGGAAGAAAGGAGGCATCATCATTATCATCGCAACAATACATTCTTCACTGGAAATTATAATTGGACTCGTAATTTCGGTTGTGCTATACGAAATTGGTTTAAAATGACATACACTTAAGTCCAACATCTGGACACCATTGCTTCTGGCCTGTAACAAATTTAGGTTAAAACGATGCAATGCCCACATGAAGTCTCATTTTTCATTCCGAACTACAGAAAGAATGTTGGTAAAGATGTTTGTCTTGCGTGGTCTCGGCGTTCTGCAAGCACACACGTTTGTATTCCAAACCACGTAATCACAAGTTCCACTGGAATCCTTAACTAGAGAAGAGGTGACCTCATAAACCACAAGGAAGGATTTGAGTGAGCAAACTTAATATTTTTATCTATTTATGTATTGCCTTTTTAATCTGCTTCCTTTAAAAACAGTGCTGGACGCACTAACATCATTACGAGCGGTATTAAATAAGATGCTATTAAAATCGCTGTAATAAATGAAATAGTATAAAAGCACATGTTTAGTTTGTTTTGGCTCCAGTGACATCTGGCATCCAAGACGTCAACAGTTTCCCAGGTCTATCAAAGGCTGATTTCCAAGAAAAAGAAAATGGCACAATCTCACTGGGGCCCTAAGCACCCACTGGATACACTTCTCTCAGGTTTCTCAGAAGTTGGAAATGGCATCAACGGACGGCCAGGTTACCTAGCAACCACTACTTCCTGTGTGTTTACAGTCGTGCCCCGCAGGACGATTACCCCGCTGTACGACAAATCCGCATTACGTCAACATTTTTGTGATCGCTTTTGCGATCACAAAACAATGTCTAAATGGGCGATTTTCGTTTGACGATGATCGGTTCCGTTTCGGGAACCGATTTTTCACTTTACGACGATCAGCAAACTGCTGATCGTCGGGTTTCAAAATAGCCACCAGCTTTCAAAATGCCCCCCCGCTGTTTTCTAGGATGGATTCCTCGCTATACAGGCACCGAAAATGGCCGCCGTATGGAGGATCTTCGCTGGACGGTGAGTTTTTCAGCCCACTGGAACGCACTGAACTGGTTTTCAATGCGTTTCAATGGGATTTTTTCGTTTCGTTTGACGATGTTTTCGCTCTACAGCGATTTCGCTGGAACGAATTAACATCGTCAAGCGAGGTACCACTGTATTTAGCAATTATTATTTCTTGCCCTTCTTTTAAGGGCCTTAACCCAAGCTTAGAACAGTTGCTTTTGGGACTGTAACCCCCAGAATTCCCCACTAACCACAGAGACCATGGAATTCTGGAAGCTGTAAACTTAAAAAAATGAGCTTTTCCAAGCTTGATCTGAGAGGCTGTTAAGGAAATAGCATGTGGCAGCCATCTCTTATTTCTATTGATCTTCCTCCTTTATTTGCCTGCCAATACCCTGTCAGTTACCTGCTGTGGGGCTGCATCTCTGTGCTGCTTCTTCTGGGTGACTTTAATGGGAGGTAGCTTGGTCACGGCTGAAACGAGGAAGTTCATCAATATGTCCTCACAGTTGGAGAGCTGATCAATGAGATCCCTTAGCTTAGCAGGCAAGTAATGGGTGAAGAGGCTGTGATAGTACCTGCGGATGGAATAACAAGCAAGGCGTGGAGAAGGAGCTAGAAATAAGAAACCAGAGTCATCCGTGGCTCAGCCAAGACTATAAAGCAATGCTGGCAGAAAACGCCTGCAGAAATCCATGGTGGGGGCGAGACCTTTATTAGGCTAACTAACTTTAAGAAAGGCACCATAAGTGTGTAGGTTTTCGAGAGAAATGTGTTGTTGTTTTTTTAATCCAAAACCATACAGGGACACAATAATCACTTTCAGGATGGGAAATATGACGTGATTGCAACACACAGAGAAGAGAGCAATGGACCACTTTTCAAAGTTGCCGGCATCTTTCGTTCATGGCATTAAAACTGCTCCACAAAAGCCCTCCTTTTGAAGCAGTCTTGAATAACAAACAGTTGCCCAACAAAGCAAAAGACGCTCCTTAGGTTATGCCTTAAAAGTAAAGGGCCAACGCGGAAAAGGTTCTCTTGCTCATGGCTGCTAGCCTAACCAATGGAGATGAGGCTGGGTGTTGTTGTTGTTTAGTCATTAAGTCGTGTCCGACTCTTTGTGACCCCATGGACCAGAGCACGCCAGGCCCTCTTGTCTTCCACGGCCTCCCGGAGTTGAGTCAAATTCATGTTGGTAGCATCCGAAGTCGGGTCAAATTCATGTTGGTAGCACAGACAATTTAAAACACCCTATTTCTTGCTCTTAAAACGTTTTCACTCCGGTAGGATTATCTTCTATGAGTTCTGCGAATGTGCCATTGGGCCCTATAAAGAAAGCCGGTGGGCTCCTTTATAAGCATGAATGCTGTTTCCTAATAATTGTTGCATACAGCAGAAATGCTGAAACCACGGGGTGTGCCTGTCCATGTATAGGATTTCAGGGGAGTGTGTATAGTTTCAACAACACGATCAATGATATAATATACTGTTCGTTTAGGAACTCGTAACAAGGAGAACCTGCTGATTTCTCAACACGCTGCTTATTCCATCATCTTCCGAGACTCCGCATCCAACCTGCTCCTTTAACTTTCTGCCCATCTCTGTTTAACAGAGTTTGTCACATGCGGACGGGCCCACTGTGTAGATGGTTTAAAAGTTCACCTCGCCAGTAGACATAGTCTAGAGGGGCGTGGTACAAAATCTAATAAATAAATAAATAAATCTTCCACTTCTCCAGCACATAAGACTCGCCTGTCCCGTCCCCCCCAGGAGTTACAGCCCAGGGAAGTCAGAGAGACGGTAGAAGGCAGGAGATGGAGAACTCTAGAAGGGGAAGAGAACGGAGCATCCAGAGAGAAGGGATAGTGAACTAGAACTCTGCACCGGAGTCTCCCTCCTGCAACCTTGTCTTGCAAGACCCACAGTCACTCCTCGTAACCGTACGAGGCCAAGGTTACCTGTGGTAGAAAGCAGCTGCCGTGAGAACCATGGAGAAGTCATTGGTCCACTTGGAGGTGTAACTCCATTGGCTTTTGCTAGCATCCCAGAAATGGCTGCGCATGGGGAAGCCGACAATCCGGTCGGGGAAGCTTTTCCAGACCACAAAGGCAAAGTCCACCTGGAGAGTCGGGGAGGCAGGCAAAAAAAGAGAAGAGTAAGAGCACCGCCCAAACTGCATGGGGATGGGGAGCAAGCGTGGCCCCTCCAGAGGTTACCGGGGTGCAACCTCCGTCAGTCGCAACCAGCATGCTCGTCAGCACATGACAGTGCGAGGTGCAGACCAACAACATTTAGAGGAACAGCCTCATTAGAAGACTTAAGGCTTCCTAGGCACCCTCCACGCTTTGGTCCTTTCTAAGTACCTTGCGGGTTCTTGGCAGAACACTAAAAAGGGGGGAGACACAGAGAGAAACAGCCCACTCAGTCATGCAGAAAGCCTATGCAATTTAGACTGTACAGGATCACGCCATTTCAGGATAAAATAGTAGATTCGATAAGAACAGATTCTCCATTTTTATTAAAACCTTTGCATACTTTGAAAATTAGAGAGAGAAAGATTATAGCCCTGCCACCTCCTTGAAATGCTAGCTTTCTCTGTGCAGAGAATCTTCAAGGTAGGTAAAGGTAAAGGTAAAGGTTCCCCTTGACAATTTTTGTCCAGTCGTGTTCGACTCTAGGGGGGGGGGTGCTCATCCCCGTTTCCAAGCCATAGAGCCAGCATTTTGTCCGAAGACAATCTTCCGTGGTCACATGGCCAGTGCGACTTAGACACGGAACGCTGTTACCTTCCCACCTAAGTGGTCCCTATTTATCTACTTGCATTTGCATGCTTTAGAACCGCTAGGTTGGTGGGAGCTGGGACAAGCGATGGGCGCTCACTCTGTCGCGTGGATTCGATCTTACGACTGCTTGGTCTTCTGACCCTGCAGCACAGAGGCTTCTGCGCCACGACGTCCCTCTTCGCCACCACGTCCCTCTTGGTGGCTGCCTAGGCTGCCTAGGAAGCCTTAAATGTTCCCCTTCAAGGTAGGGGAGCATTTAAATGTGTGATTTCGCCACTCATAAGGTTGCTTTATACGGAGTCTAAGCCATACTGAGTCCAGTTAGCCCAATCTTTTCTCTTCTCCTCCCAGCCTAAAAGAGGAGGATTTTTCCAGTCTGCAGGTTTCACAGGCGTTGAATCTAGGACCTCTTACACACAAAATACATCCTCTACTACTCCTTCTGTTCTCCACTGGCAGAGTTGCTGAAGGACGTTCCCATCTAACCCGGCATCCACGCAGGGAGAATCGTGCAAGATGGAACTCTATCCTTGTTGGACGACTCCCCGATGACCACACGGTTCTCCCAGGACTGTTGCCTTCCTCGCCTGCCCTCTGAGAAAAGCAGGCGAACCTGCGAGAACGGGCAAACCACCCTTTTGCCTCACCCCAAAACGATCTCCTCTTTCTGGGCTCTGTTCGCCACTCCTTGGCTCTCCGCTCCCTCAAGCATTTAGATGCACGAGGGCTCAAACCAACAGCCCACGGGCCAACCTGAGAAGCCACACCAGGGTGGCCTCGATCCTGGGGAGAAGAAGCCTGCAAGGAAAAACCCAGGTGAGGCAACAAGAACGGAGACCATCAATGAGAAGGCAGCACCGTGCCACCTCAGCCTCTCTATTCCCACGCCCTCGTCTACCCTAATCACTCCTGTGTCAGACCTCGCGCCCAGATGGCCAGGTACAGCCATGGAACTTTCCCTCCAAACCCATGACAGACAGGTAACATCAGTGCTGTTATGTAACAGGCGTGACTCACAGCTCTGGAGAAACAATTCGCCCCAGGACCTATTTCTAATCCTGCATCGTAGAAAGAATAGCAATGATAAGTATCTTGAATCAATAGCTCAGTACGTCCTACAACGACAGGCAAGAGAGTTTCAGAGAAGGGATCTTTCCCAATCGTACCTGGAGATGCTGGGAATGAAATCTCGGACCTAAGAAGCAGGTACTGGGACCCCAGCCCTTCCCTAGATGGGGGCTCTCCCCCTCTCCAAACACCTTTCCACTCCATGTCATTTTCTCATGAGTTTACCTCTACCTGCGTAAACCCCACAAGTGTTTCCAGTCATCCGTTTACAGCTATTTCTAGACTGGGATAATCTGGTGATAATCGTCCATGCTGTAATATCCACCCGACTAGACTACTGTGATGCACTTCACGTGGAGCTCCCCTTGGTAACAGCACAGAGGCAGGGGAGCAAAGACTTGAGCAAATTACACCCGGGGAATCGGGGAATCACCCAGCAAGTATGCAGTTACATCTTCTGAAATCTTTTCTTTATGGTGCCAGCGAAGCACCCATCCCAAATGAAGGTGACAGATGTTATTAGCACGCCATTCTCTAACTGGCTCTGGGAGCAGATCCCTGAAAAAATGTTGGATCTAATACTGAGCCATTTGAGATTTAAAATCAGCCAGGCTGGTCTGAGTGGAGTGCTGTGGTCCACAGGCCTATCTATTGCAAGTGGCATGATTTCGCCCATTGTTGGCACCCATCCATCAGAGGCCCAGCTCTCTTCTGCATGTTCAGTTTTTTCGAACCTCAATTTAAAATATATCTATTTGTAGAAACTTTGGGGGCACAAGCAACTATTTGAACCACATCTGACTACTGCTTGTCTTGCACTGCTTTCTACTACGAGACATTTCAATCTGTGGTTTGAGATAGAGGAGGACTCCCCTATCTGCAGGATCAGTATCCACCCATTCATCCACTGGCTGAAAATACTAAATAAAAAAAAATCCTGGAAATACGTATTTACATGTATTTCCAGGTTACATTTACCAGAACTGGCCACTAGAAGAAGCCAGAGGCTATGCAATCCATAGTGTTTGATACATCCACGTTTTTCAGCATCCACGGGAGACGGGCTTTCAACTGATCTCTGTCCTACAGTATTGGCAACTGAGATGTGTTTCATTTGTGATTTCATGTATTTGTAAGTTGTGATTTCAGACATTTATAACTTCTCGATTCAGCTGCAGGTTTGTTTATTTTATAAAGTGTTAGCTGCCCTGCAGCCTCCCAAAAAAAAAGGGGGGGGGAGATATAAATTGAAATACTACCACCAACATTGATAAAAACACTAATCATCTTGTTCGGCATCCACATTTATCTGAAGCTTTAAAAAAAAATACATGCATGACCACTGTTCTCAAATATCTCTGAGTATGGCAAGGTCAAAACGGAGATGTTAGGGCCTATTAATAACCTCAAGATTCGCCCCCCAGAGTTAGCTGCTCTGTCATGTTCACACCTTCTGCAGTCTCTGGATCTATACGCAGGAGCTTAAAGAGAGTTTCCTCACCTCACTGGTTGAGAGGCTGGTGTGTTCATCCAGGCTCAGCACCGCGTCGGTCTCGATGGCTGAGTAAGGCAAAAAACGATCACTGACCTTAATCGGGGAGGGGGGGAAAAGGAGAGGAGAGAGCAAAGTGAAGAGGAAAGCTGGAGAGACCCCCTCCATCACAGAGTATTCAGAAACATCCAACCGGCAAGCTCAGATGAATCTAATTAGCCTATCTGTCTAATGTCCACCATCTTAAATGTTTTAAATGTTTTCGGTCCCATCCCTTTGCCTTTATCTAGGCCCAGAAGATTGTCTTTGAAGCTGAACACGGCCCTTCGGCAGAAGTAAGTTTCCTCCACCTGTTGTGTTAATAGAGCACCTCCAGTATCTTTCCCAACTGCAGCTCAAACTACACACAATACGGCTGTGCGTAGGTGGCCGTTCCACGAAACAGCTGCAGCCCATGTACGAATGACATGGTGCAACCATCCACGAGTCTTGGCTTCATTTCTTCGTTTCTAACAGGTTTTAAAGCCCCATTGGCGCAGACCCAAATAGGTGGTTGATGCCTGTGAAACATCAGAAGCCAGAGAAGCTACCCACTGGGGCTTCGGAAGAGATGGCATTTTGGACAGAACAGGGGCTGGCCCTGCCCTCGAGGGACGGGCCTCTGCGTCCTTCATCCATCACAATCCATGGGGGTCATGGGGCTTCTGCTCACCTTGCTGCTGCCCTGGAGGACCTTCACTGGAACGGTGGTCTGGGGCCATTTGCTGCTCTGTGGCGGGGGCTTCTCACAGCTCCATAAAATTAAAATCTGTATTAAAGAAGACACAAAAGGAAGGAAGGAAGGGATGAGGNCATGAAAGGGAGGGATGAGGGGAAGGAAGGGAGGGAGAGAGGAAGGGATGAGGGGAAGGAAGGGAGAGAGAGAGGAAGGGAGGGAGGGATGAGGGGAAGAAAGGGAGGGAGGGAATGAGAGAGGGAGGGAGAGAGAGAGAGAGAGAGAGAGAGAGAAGGGAATCTTCCATGAGCCATGTGAAGTCTACAAACCAAGCAACCATCTAGCAGAGGGATGAGGGGAAGGAAGGGAGGGAGAGAGGAAGGGATGAGGGGAAGGAAGGGAGAGAGAGAGGAAGGGAGGGAGGGATGAGGGGAAGAAAGGGAGGGAGGGAATGAGAGAGGGAGGGAGAGAGAGAGAGAGAGAGAGAGAGAGAAGGGAATCTTCCATGAGCCATGTGAAGTCTACAAACCAAGCAACCATCTAGCATAGTGGTGCCCACTGGGAGCTCCCCCACCTGTATACATCCTTCAATTTATACATCTGATGAAATGGCAGGTGTTCTCCTTTCACCGCATGTCTTGTTCTGCCTCTCCGCTCCCCAAGAAGGGTTTTTAACAAAGTCAGAAGCAGACCTTCCAATTGTTTCCAGTGTCCCCTTGGGGGGTGATCAGAGATAGCAATGGGTCCAAGGGGCTGGAAATTAGCTACTGGATCTCCCCAGTGCCTGCCTACCCCAATCTGGAAACCTCCTAAGAGGGAGCCCCTTTTTTTCCTCCCCAGTCATACATGCCAAGTGCTAGCAAAAGGCCAGAGTCCTGTCTCTTTTTACCTGTGACTCCCATTAAAGCCACACGTTCCAGTGCGATCAGGCACCGGAGTTTGCAGCGGTCTGATTGCACCCCTGAGATAGGAGGCAAGTGTATCGTGCAAAATGCTTTCTCCACCATCACAAAGCCCTCCTCCGAATCCCTGCTCCAGCCGGCCTTGTGTCGTGTGTATGTTCTCACGCTGGTTGCAAGACCAGTTGCACAACTGGTTATGCAATGGGGAACCTGCCGGAATAGACTCACGGAAGCGGGAAGTTGGAAGGGGCCCAGTAAGGCCATCAAGAAGGCAAGTGTATCGTGCAAAATGCTTTCTCCACCATCACAAAGCCCTCCTCCGAATCCCTGCTCCAGCCGGCCTTGTGTCGTGTGTATGTTCTCACGCTGGTTGCAAGACCAGTTGCACAACTGGTTATGCAATGGGGAACCTGCCGGAATAGACTCACGGAAGCGGGAAGTTGGAAGGGGCCCAGTAAGGCCATCAAGACCAACCCCCTGCTCGATACAGGAATCCAAAGCAGATCTGACAAGACGGCTGTCTAATTTTGTTATGCAATGGGGAACCTGCCGGAATAGATTCATGGAATCGGGAAGTTGGAAGGGGCCCTGTAAGGCCATCAAGACCAACCCCCTGCTCGATACAGGAATCCAAAGCAGATCTGACAAGACGGCTGTCTAATTTTCTCTTGAAGCCCTCCAGTGTTGGAGGCCTTCAAGACGAACTTGAAGACATGGCTATACAGGCAGGCCTTCCTTACAGCCATCATCTAGCCTATCTCTACTTTTCTTATTTTTTCTTTTCTCTCCTTTTTCTTCTTCCTCTTCTTTTTTCCCCTTTTTCTTTTTCCTTTCCCATCTTGGATTCATCTGGATTTTATCTCAGTTTATTACATGTAAACCACCCAGAGCTCCTTTTTCTTCTTCCTCTTCTTTTTCCCCCTTATCCTTTTTCCTTTCCCATCTTGGATTCATCTGGATTTTATCTCAGTTTATTACATGTAAACCACCCAGAGCAGACCCATTCTAGATGGGCGGTATATAAATCTAATAAATAAATAAATAAAAATACTCACCACCTCCTGAGATGAAGGGTTCCACTGTCGTACTGCTCTAACAGTCAGGAAGTTTTTCCTGAGATTCAACCAAAATCTGGCTTCCTGTCACTTGAGCCCATAATGTTGTGTGTCCTGCACACTCTGGGATGATCAAGAACGGATCCCACTTCTGCTCTGAATGATCCCCCTTTCAAATATTTGAAAAGGGCTATCCTATCAGCTCTCTGTCTTCTTTTCTCAAAGCTAAAGGATGCGTGCAAGGTTTTTGTTTAAAAAAACCAATTTGGAGTTAGAACTATCTAAATGCAACATGGCAGAACAAATACACAAAATGTTGCTCTACATGGAGGTAACATTTTTGTATTTGAGTTGCCATGTTACATTTAGACAGTACTAACTCCAAATTGTTGTTGTTTTTAATTCTTTGCTCTCCTGGATACATATTGGGATTTTTAGGCTCTGCTTTGTTTCTAGACTGGTTATTTTTTATCACTTCTGATCTTACAGATGTATTGCTGTTTTAAATTTTATCTTGGCTACTATCTTTCATATTCTGAGAATACTTTGTTGCACAATGACAAACGACTCCAATGAATGAAATATAGTAACTAATTTTTTTTTAAAAGCCTACTTTAAGACCTAACCTGAAAATAAGCCCTAGTATGATTTTTCTGGATGCTCGTCATAGAAGCCCTACCCCAAAAATAAGCCCTCTTTAAGTGAAACCCCGCCCTCCACCCTTGTGCAGCAACCAGAAGAAGAGGACAGGACTGTCTTTGAATAAATGTAGATTGCTTACATAAAAAAAATAAAGCATCCCCTGAAAATAAGCCCTAATGTATTTTTTGGAGCAGAAATTGAAATAAGACCCTGTCTTATTTTCGGGGAAACACGGAATATATGTACAGTATACATATCACACAAAATCGCTCTGGCAGCACTAACTATATGTTAATGACAAACTGGTGCTTGGGAGTTTATGATGCTGAGCCAGGATGCACTAGGTGAGAACACTGGAACTTTGTACTTTGCAAAGATGATGATTGATGACTTCATGAGCCATCCTCCTCATGCTCTTCTCTTACCTCTGAGCTTATTTGTAAATCTAACCGTAGCTTAAGATGGAACTTTTTCCTAGCAAAACAAAGAAAGAAAGATTCCCCAAACAAAACAAACCTGTTCTAAGCAACCCCTGTTATAATGTCGGCCTGGTAATGAAAAATTCATTAAGATCCATTAGCTTTACACAACACCTGTTCCCAGTAGAAATCAAGACGGCTAGGCGTAGCTTGTTATTGATCAGCACAGCGACTCACATATTCTGTCGCTTTTTGGGACCTCGGCTCTCCTAGTGAACACCTTCCCTTCAAAACCCAGCACGACGTCACCACGTGGTATGTTTGCATTATATGTATTTATACACAGGAATGGGAAAATCTTCCAGATGTTGTTGGCCCAATACTCCATTGAGCCCTAGATGAAAGATTGGGAGGTTTGTGCACCAAGACATCTGGAAAGCTACGAAGGCCTGCTTCGTGGCCGCTGAATCTGCTTCACTCTGTTCACGTACTGGGCTACAGGCTGGCCAAGATGACAAGCCCCCCCCCAAAAAAACCCAGCCCCCATGACCACTTTTCCAAACTCTGCCTCCACACACTTATCTCTGACTGTGCTCTGCTGAGGTAACCTTGGCCTGACATTTAAGGAATTACCTGCTCAGGTCTGAGCCTGAAGGGACAGCTGGCTCGAAGTTCCTGAGCCGGCATGCCCGGGCGGTTTTGCACCTCGAAGCACTCGGGGAGGCCCGAGAGGGGCGAGGCCGGCCGGCGGAGCGGCTTTGCAGCTGACAGGACTTGCCCTGTCGTCATTCCGAGGCAGAAGGGAGCACCTGCTGGCACGGAGGCAAAGATTCCCGGCCCACCCAGACGCCTCCTGATGCCGCAAAGTCGTCTGCCATCTCTACCCTTCGCTTCAGGGCACACCCGGGCGTGTATTTACAGAGGAGCTGAAAATGGCTCGGTTTTCATCATAAGGGGCTTCGGAGGACGCCCTCCCAAGCGAGATGTGAAAAGGCCAACAGCTGGGAGTCCGCTAGGCAGCAGTGGCTGGGGATGATGGAACCGGTTGCCCGGAACATCTGGGGAGAGTGCCATTCGGGGAGGACTGGAGTGAGAGCAGCTACAACGTGGGAGTTGCTCTTTGTGTTTACATGTCTGTTTTTATTTTACTTGTACCATGAGCTGCTTGAAATACCCCTTCCCCCCCGGCAACATTTTTTTAAGGGTTAAAACATTTAAATGAGACAACTGCTCATTTAAAATGCTCCTCTTGCAAAAATAAACAGTCGCTCTGGCTGGGCAAAACTAGTACTACAGAAGAAAGGCTGAGTTGGGACTTTCCGCCTTATGATGTTAGTTTTGACTTGCAGAATGGGAGAAACTTTTTAATGAGGAGGATTCAATGACGTGACATCTACCTACCCCATTCAGCTCACCTTGGATAAACCCAGATGGTTCTTGGAGTGCACCTCCCAAAAATCCTGGCCAGCTCAGCCGCTGGTGATGGCAAAGGCTTCTGGGAATTGGCAGCCCAAAACCACCTGGGTTACCAAAGATTGGGAACCAATGATCTAGCATGTAGATTGGTACTCTTAGGCTCACTTCCTTCACCCTTCTTTCTCTGAGGTCAGTTCTGATTGGATTTTCTTCTTGCTAGAGAGAGGTAGCAGCATTGGGGCTCCCTTGAATAGCTCCTAGGCAGTCCAGCATACATAGAAGCCAGTTTCAGATGCTTCTGTAGATGGTTTCCAGATATGGATGTGAAACGGCATCCTCCGGAAACTGCAAAGGCATATGTTCTGTTTCAAGGTACAGTGGTGCCCCGCTTGACAATTACCTCATTAGACAAGGAAATCGCTTAACGATGAAGTTTTTGCGATCGCAAAAGTGATCGCAAAACAATATTTTAATAGGGAAAAATCGCTTCACGATGATCACCTCCCTGCTTCAGGAAACGATTCTTAGCTTAATGACAATCAAAACAGCTGATGTAAAATGGCTCCCTCCTGTGTTTTAGGATGGATTCCTCGCTTTACAGGCACAGAAAATGGCCACCCTATGGAGGATCTTCGCTGGACACTGAGGTATTTAGCCCATTGGAACGCATTGAACCAGTTTTCAATGCATTTCAATGGGCTTTTTTATTTCGCTTGACGAGGATTTCGCTCTTCAGCGATTTTACTGGAACAGATTATCCTCGTCAAGCGAGGCACCACTGTATACAGTATTTCCTTAGAGGAGGACTGCCAACATTTAGAGGAGCTGAGCTTCCTCCATCTTCCTATCTTTAGAACCAGGAAGATCAGTCCTAACACGGCTCCAGCGTATTTTATTCAGATCTCAAAATCAACTCTCAGACCCCCTTCAGTCACTGTCCAGTTTCAGATTCTGGGAGCTATAGTTCCAAAGAAGAATTTTCCCTCCCAGTTTTTCAGGTGCAGACTTTTCTCACCTCCTTCTCCACTACAACGGGATGGACTACACATCCCCATTTACCTGGGCACAGTACTGGGACTTGGAGACTGCTTGGATGAGCTTGAGGATGGGCTGGGAGAGGGAGATGATGGGTGACACCGCCCGGATGAGCGCCGTAAACTTGCCGGAAGGGTTGGAACCTGTTACAGGGAAAGATGTGATTAAGCCCAGGATGCCAAAGATCTTCCTCTGAAAAAAAAAAAACCTGGAAAAAATTACTTTGGGAAGATAATAACGTCTAGATTTTGCCAGTGAGCTGACGCTAGTGAAGAGGATTCTGGGAGTTGTAGTCCAAAAAGGAAAATTTCCCTAACTTCTTCTAAAAATAGACCACCCAGCTCTTGTTTTCTGAATCCACAATCCCAGCTAACCAAGGTTGAATTCTGACTTCTTGTTAATACAGTGTATTTTACTTTTTTAACAAAATTACTAGAAATAGTCCAGGCAGCGGACATGATTCTCCTTTTATCTCACAACAACCCTGTCAGGTAGGTCAGACCGAGGTCACTCAGCGAGTTCCAACGACCAAGTCAGAATCTGAACCCAGGTCCCTTAAGTCTCCGTCCAGCATTCTAACTGATACTTTATGTAGGAGGGGAAAAATGCTTAACTAGGGACTGGGAGTTAAATACATGCAAAGGCATCTATTTATAGGTAAAGGTAAAGGTTCTCCTTGACAATTTTTGTCCAGTCGTGTCCGACTCTAGGGGGCGGTGCTCATCCCTGTCTCCAAGCCATAGAGCCATCATTTTGTCCGAAGACAATCTTCCGTGGTCACATGGCCAGTGCGACTTAGACACGGAACGCTGTTACCTTCCCACCGAGGTGGTCCCTATTTATCTACTCGCATTTGCATGCTTTCGAACCGCTAGGTTGGCGGGAGCTGGGACAAGCGACGGGCGCTCACTCCGTCGCGAGGATTCGATCTTACGACTGCTGGTCTTCTGACCCTGCAGCACAGGCTTCTGCGGTTTAGCCCGCAGCGCCACCACGTCCCTATAAAGGCATCTATTTACCCATCTTCTGTCTTTTCTATCTTTGTCTGTCTGTTTTCTTTCTTTCTTTTCTGCATAATTCTGTTGTCGTCAACTCCAATTAGCAGCGGCTCTCCAGAACCTCAGGCAAGCTTCTTTGCTAGCCTTACCTCGAAATCCCTGCTATATTGTGGGGACTTTTCATCCAACCAGACCCGACCTTGCTCAGCTTCTGAACTCACTGAGTCTGGTGTGCTCAAGATGGCCTGCGGTAATCCCTGCTCTTTCTTACTCTCAGATTTTTAAGCTCCTTGAGAACAGAGGCCTTTCTGGATTGCCTATATAATACTCCTCCTTCAGGCTGCATACTCATGGTGTGATGATAACAATCATCCCAACAGCAAAACCCCTCAGGTGAGAGCCAAGAGGGCTATAGCAGGAACAGAGCCGAAAATGAATTATCGGCTTGTGTGGATAAATCCTGCCATTTACAAAAGAAAAGCAGTTTTTTTTCCTAAGACAACCCCTCAAAAACATTTGAGAATTACCTTACAGCAGCCATTTTTAACCTTTCTTTTGCCACAGCCAAAAAGACACACAAAACAAAATAAGTTTAGGTTGAATCGGGATTATATAAGTTGCATAACAAACCTTAATAAGATGGGGTGTGAAGAATTGTTTCCAGTCTGTGGCCCCCTTCAAATGTGACTAGGGACCCTCAGGGGGTCATAAAGCCCCAGTTGAGCATGTCTGCCTTAGAACAAGCCCACACCTTGAAAATATAGCTCAATTGGGACTGAGGGTGCCCAGTGGCCAGGGAATGCTGAAAGCCCGATCATAGGTGGTGGAATGTGACGTGGTACCCTGGACAACGGCATAGAAAGCGCCGAAGCAGGAGTACGCCCCACTGCAACATTCTGTTGCAGTTCCCAGATCTGCTTCATCGCCGTCTTGAGAGCATGGAGGCGAGGGATGCAGAAGGTTTGGGAAAAGTTACTTTGGGGAAGCACAACGTCCAGTATCCCCCAAACCAACATGTTGGTCGGGGATTCTGCAGACAGACTGTACCCCAAAAACCGACTTCTGGGGAGAAACCCCAACGCTGAGGAGGAGACAAGGAAAACACTCCCTTACCATGCTGCAGATAGTAGAATGGGAAATCACTGAGGTGAGTGGAAAACTCCGGAAGCGTCAGCAACCCTCCAGGAAAGGTGTTCCAGAAGAACCTTGGGCGGGACTCTCGATGAAATATCCGATCCTTTATTATCTAGTGAAGAGAAAGGAAGTTGTCATCACGAAAGCGTTAACACCTCTGAAGCCGTCAACACCTGAGGAAGGAGGAGGCGTCACCTGAGCTCTGAGATCAACATCACACACACACACACACACCCTCGGTCTCACTCTGAGCCTGCTGTAGTGTACAGAAGAAGGGGGGAAAAGCCGGGAAATTCCACCTCTGACATGTACTCCTTGGCAGGAACATGCGTCAGTCCCTTTCATCAACCATTAAGAATATAAAACCAACCAAGAAACAAAAACAACGAGCTTTCGATGATAAATCATGCTGTTATTAAGGTCCCATTATTGACTCATATGGCTGATGATGTTGAAGGCCAGGTTCGCTTCTTAGATGGAGATAAATAAATACAGTATTGCAAGTTGGTTTCAAACTCTTCCTCAGCTAGCATTTTTGAATTTATGACCTATCTCCTAAAATAGAGAATATTTGGGCCATCTGACCCCATCCCTCTTTTTTTTCTGTCTTTTTAAAACTCAAAGAATTTTTTTGTTGACTAGGGGCGCGAAGAGTGCTCAGGAGCACGGCTGGCCTCTAACAGAGTTGCGATTACGAATTTCGTTAAACCCGCCAGGAACGATTTGGGTTACGTGTGTCCCGTTGTTATTCTCTCAGCCTCATTCCTCCACACCAACACCACATCCCAACATCAATCTGCATTTCCAAGAGGTTCACAACAGATGCTGGGAGGACTGCCAAGGGTGAAAACTTTAGATCGTTCTGTAAGTATTGTAAAGATGACTAAGATGCTGGTCAGGCAGTAAGAACAGGCCATGACCAAACGCAGGGCGGGCATCATCAGAAGGCAGAAACGCTGTCCTTTGGGTAACTTCAGTCACTCACATTTCGGGACTACAATCCACAGAATACACACATTTTCTTTTTTTTTAATCCTATTTGTGAGAACTTGCAAAATTCGAAGGCACAAGAAAGCAAGACTGATCGTTTGTCCCGTCCCTCATTTGGAGGCCTGCTCACTCTTGCTTTGTTTCTGCCATCTGATGTTTTTCAGCTGGTGGCTGATTTCAATCTGCTCCTGCCTTTCATCTCTGCTTGTTTTTAGTGATTTTTAAAAAAATTCCGTTTTGATGCAGCTCCCTCCTCTGATGCATTTTTAACATTTTCATTGCAACGTTGACGTTGTCGTCCTCCGCCTCCTTGGGGGCTAGCTGAGAAAAAGACCGGTTGTTTTTTTAAGCATATAATCGTCAGCTGATGATGAATATTTGCACGGGGGAGCGCCTCTTGCACGGGGGGCTCCACCGTTCTCTTAATGGTGGGAAAAACAAGCCGTATTTTAAAAAAAAATGAACTGGAATAAGTTTAGAGGAGGGCAACAAGGGGGTGGGAACCAAGCCCGATGAGCAAAGGCTGAAAAAACTGGGCATGTTTAGCCTTGAGAAAAGAAGGTGGACTTTTCAAATACAGTGGTGCCTCGCTTAACGAGCGCACCGTACAACAACGAAATCGCATAGCGATCCCTTTTTTGGGATCGCTAATGCGATCGCTCAACGAAGCCCCGACGATCAGCTGTTAGGCGGACAAAATGGCCGCCGGAAGCCCCGAAATGGCCGCGCACAGGGTTTTCGCGCCATCCCCTCGCTTAACGAGGGCGCGAAAATGGCTGCCGGCCATAGGAAACATCGCTGAACGGTGAGTATTCGGCCCATTTGGAACACATTAAACGATGTTTAATGCATTCCAATGGGTTTTTTTGATCCGTTCAGCGATGTTTCGCTATAGCGAAGGTTAATCCGGAATGGATTAACCTCGCTATGCGAGGCACCACTGTACTTGAAAAGTAGTCCTACAGAGAAGGGGCAGGATCTGTTCTTGATTATCCCAAAGTGCAAGACATGTAATAATGGGTTTCAGCTTTAGGAATTAGGCTGAATATCGGGGGGAAAACTCCTAACTGTTAGAGCAGTACGACAATGGAACCTATGACCTTGGGAGATGGTGAGGTCTTCAGCATTGGAGGCCTTCAAGAGAATTGGACCGCTATCTGTCAGATCTGCTTCGATTTGGGGATTCCTGCTTTGGGCAAGGGGGCTGGACCTCCGTGGCTTTATAGGCCCCTTCCAACTCCATGATTCTATGCTTTGATGAGGCTGTGCTGGCAAACAGGACTAGGCATGTAAAGAATGCTAGCTACATTCTTCGTTATGGTCTGTTTCGACGCCCTCTCAGAGGAGGACGCTTGACGAGCAAGCTGCAGACTCTGACACAGCTCCCTTGCAGGTGAGAAACCTTTTTTTGAATCAAGATCTCCCCAATTTGTGCAAATTGTCTCTGTGCAAAACGGGTGTCTTTTCCCCTGAGAAACAAAGCATGCACACAGAGAGGAGGGAGGGGGAGAGAGAGAGAGCACAGAGATGCTGCCTAATGGTTTTTAAAAAAGCCCACTAACGAATCCTCCACCACCATCACACTGCACAATCTCTGTGTTCTGCGTTAGAGCATTATTTATATTATATCCGATTTGTCTAACTGATTTAATGTGGTTCGTTCAACTAATACTAAAAATGATACCCCTTTTGTTAATGGGACCACCAAGGAGTATCTTGCCTTCTAACAGGGCAAGAAGAAGAATTTTGTGAACCTCGCTCACATTTCAGGGGCAAGCAAGCACCCCCAACGCTGGACTTAAATGGGGCTGTTTGGTTTGTTTTTTTCCGACCATGTTCATGTTAACAGAGAACATCTTTTTTTTCCTTTTCCCTCCTGATTCCACAGTTCACAAAAACTGAAGTGTTTGTAATTCCTCCCTGAGGGACACCTAGTATCTTTGCCTCCATCTCTCGGGCCTCTCCTTACAACAATAATCCCACTGGAAAACACTAGGAATTAGTCACAATAAGACGGACTCACAAATTGCTTTTTTAAAAAAACATCCCGCCCTTCTTCTAAAATGCTCAAGGTGCCTCACAAGGTTCTCGGCCAACCCCTCGTTCTACCCTCACTACAACCCTGCGAGGTCTGGCTCTGAGGGTGGGGTGGATGTGGGAGCATCCAAAGCCCATACCTTGAAAACAGGGTAGCCAGATGCAAAAAAAGAGGGTGGGGCTCCTCTGCTTTAGGCAGCTGTATCCAGATACAGTGGTGCCCTGCATAGCGACGTTAATCCGTTCCGGATTAATCATCACTATGCAAAAACATCGCTAAACAGATCAAAAAACTTCATAGGAATGCATTAAACTTCATTTAATGCGTTCCTATGGGCCCCCAACCTCACCGTTCAGCGAAGCTCCTCCATAGTGCCGCCATTTTCACGCCCTCAGTAAGCGAGGGCAGGGCGCGAAAATGGTTGTGGCGGCCATTTTGGGTGTCCAGCAGCCATTTTGGAACCGCCAATCAACTGTTTAAAAAAACCTCGCAATGTGAAGATGGGTAAGCAAAACGCTTACCGATCATCGCAATGCGATGTTTTGCCATTGAAAACATCGCAATGCGATCGCATTAGCGATCTCAAAAAAGAGATCGCTATGTGGATTCGTCGTTAAACGGTGCGCTCGTTAAGCGAGGCACCACTGTATAGAAGTATTGAAGGCAGAGGAGACCTGACCAGTTTTGCCTATGGCTACCCTATCTAAAAAGCTTTGCTGAAAATCATCATCATCATCCTGCACCAGCAAAAAGTCAATTCTGAGTTACGGTGACCCTTTTCTGGTAGAGATTACTGCGAAGTGGTTTCCCAGTTCCTTCCTCTTCTGGGGTGCCCTGGGACTGTGCAGCTTGCCCAAGGTCACCCAGGCTGGCTCAACTCGCAAGAGACACACTGGGGCAGCCTTTTTATTGTTCAACCAGTTGGCAACTTGGTAGAAGCTGCGGGTCTTTCAGAGAAAAGAGCTGCCGCCCAGACCATTCTGAGCTTACCTCGAGGGTCGTCTGGACAATCTTCTCCACCGAGGAGAAATACGCTTCCCACAGGAACTGGGTTTGCTGCTGGAAGGCCAGGATCTTGTCACTGTGGAGACGTCGGACGGTAGATGGAATCTGCGAGGAGGTGGGCAGGATGATGAGAAAAACAGAATGATTTATAGCCCAGGGAGACACAAAGCCATCTGGCTCTCCAGGAACTGGCTGGAGCTCTTTCAGATGACAGATAATGATTTTCAGCCAGGAAGCCAAGCATGTAATAGAGGTATTTCCCAAAACAGGTGTGGGTGAGAGCAGAGGATCACGTGCGCCCCATTTCCACCCTGCTGGGATGGATCTGACCCTTTTTAAGAACAGCCTTCTAGTCACTCCTCATCTGGAAGTGAAAGAAATGTTCAGCCTTCTAAAGTGGAGAAGGGAAATTTGTTTTTTTTTTCCAAACAGAGTCTTTTCTCTCCCCACCTCCTGCGATGTGTCGTCTTGGGAGTGGGGTCGTTCGTGCCTTAGCCTAAAACATGTATCGGCCTCGCTGTTCCACACTGATCCACAGCTGATTTATTTGCCTGTCTCTAACATTTGATCTGCTGCGATTAACAAAGAACCGCTGTTCTGCACAGTAAACCCTACCTTCAAGGTTCTCCATACAATTCTGTAATAGCAATCAGTAAAACTTTCTTTTACCTTTTGTTACTCCCTCACGGAAACCATGAAGGACAGCATGGAATATCGCGTCCCGAGATTTTAGACAGGACTGTGGCAACACCTTTAGGAACGAACCCTCTTTTAAATCAATGCTCAGCTGGAAGAGGAGACCTGCTTTTGAGTCTCCCGAGGTCTGAGGGAAGCCATCAAGGCTACAGAGCCGAGAAGCAGAACAATATTACCCTCGGCTCTCATTTAGCTGACAACGACTGCATCTCTCTACCTCCGCTACTTTCATCCCAACTGACTATAATTAAAAAAAAAACCTCAGCTTGTCCCTCTCCTTTTCTCTCCTCATCCTTTTTTCCTTGTACAAAAAAAAGAAGGAATTTTTCAATGCTCTGTATGAATTGCCCAGAGAGTTTCAGCGGTGAGGCAGTATAGAGTTAGAAAGTTTAAAAGCAAATAAAGTGTGCACATTAAATATTTAGGTAAACAAAAAAACCAAAAAATGGCACATGCAACTAACTCTTATTCCTTGCCTCCCTTTCAGACACAACACGCTACGGAGCATCTGTTTATCTCAACATGCTTATGCCTCTTACGCTCTGTGCAAGAAAAGGGCACGCCAGTACAGAAGGCTAGTTAGTATACCAAAGTACCATCCCGTGCCACTTTGGCTGGACTCTGGCCTGCCCTCATCAACACAACGCCACCATTGTTACCTGAAGAAGGAGCCTCTCGTCCCCAACGATGGCTGATTTACTCCAATCAATCACTTCTGAGAACGGCAGTTCCCAGCCGTTGCTGAGCAGCACCGGGATGCAGGCCGCCTGGATCAATGGGAGGCAAATAGCAAAGGTCAGAGATGATGCCGGAAAGGCATACGCACACAGCCTGGCCATCAACAGCATGAACCCAACGTGCCTTTCCCCTTCACATTGTGATCCGTGGGGCTTCCTCCTAGAGGAAAGTTACTCTTTCCAACGCTTACTCCCAGAATCCCTCAACCAGCTTGGCCGGTGAAAAGTCATGAGAAATGCCGAGGCGACGTTTGTTTCGATTTCTTTTGCAAAGAAGGTCACAGGAAGAGATGCTATGCGATATAGAAATTAGAGTATTTGACTGGAATGAGGGAGATCCAGATTCAAAGTCCCTTTTGAGGCTTTGAAGCTGCCTCTCCTACCTCGCAGGAGTAGGGTAAGAATTTTTTTTTAAGTGTGTGAGAGAAAAGAGCCATAAATATTTGGAGGTAGGGTGCAATCGAAATACAACTAATAAATAAAACCATTCAAACAGTTTGACCTTCGCAATTGTTTAAAATACATATTGGTTTTACATGAAGTGGACATCACCAGCACCACACTGCTACAAATATTCCAGGGGTAAGAAATTGTTGTTTATTTATCCCACGGCAAAATCTTGAGCAGGAAAATAGCTATAGAAAAGAGGACAGGGCTTTTGTTAAGAGGTCTATGGGAGACAGAATTTCTGCAAGTATTAGTGCCATGGAATTTAGGTCCAGAATAGAGATGGGGACAAACCACTGATCTGGCGGTTCCTTTCTCAGCTAAACAGGTATTTGGCGGTTGTCAGCCCCGCCTCCTCTAGCAGGTGCCCACCCAAGGGCAGCACACAGAGGAGGCAGGGCAGGGAACCGGAGAACACTTGTTCGGCTGAGAAATTAACTGGCACAAAACACTGCCCATCTCTCGTCCAAAATTTTTCTGGATATGTTGGTAGTCTGTCAGCACAACTGGAAGGCAGGTTGGCCACAGATATCATACAACATACATGCCTATATGAAAATATAGGTTTCTGGGGATGAAGCACACCTCCCCTCCCCAATACACAAAGATCTTCAACCTAACTTTTACGGCATGCTGGTTCTTGTCTTTGATGTAACCAAAGACACTTCCTGCTGTACCTGTAAGGCTTCTAGGAACCTGAAGGACCCCAAACGCCTCCCTCGGGGAATAATACAAAAGGTGGAGTTGTGCAAAAGTTCTTGGTAATCAAACCTGGGAAGAAAAAAGATATTTAATTTTAGAATACAGTTAAGCCACTTCACGCTCTCGCCCTTCTCTCCCAGAGCAGAAATTATTATTATTTATTTGCACAGACCATTCTGGAGTAAATGGGTCCACACGGATCCATTAAGAATAGGATGAAACAAAGCAAAGATTTTGGGGACAACATGTTGTGATTGTGAGCTCCAGGGCGGGTGTGTGTGTGTGTGCAAAAGGCAGCCTGGGGAGCACCACACAGCCCCTATGGCTCTTTCAAAGAGCCCTCTACCACCTAGAAAGACAAAGCTTCCCGTATGAAAAAGCCTATTCCTCCAGCAAAAAGAGAGTTGAATTGCATCAGTACCAACGCACCTTTATAACGGGTCACAGCACTGTTTAACACACACAAAAATCAACCATTGTTCAAAACTGAACCTAATCTAGCTATGCTGGCTCGGGGATTCTTGGAGCTGCAGTTTATAAAAAAGCAATGTTTCCCCATGTCTGCCTCTTCTCTACTGCTTGGCTGTTAGTCTCTGTATATTGTGTGCATGAATCTGGGGACAAGGCTCCCACGCTTTGGATTCCAAACAGCCTTGATCCAACCTCGGTTTGGAATGATCGGGCATAACGGGCTGTCCGTCTGAATCTGGGTTGGTTCCCTCATGAGATTCAGTGGAAGGCACCTGTGTCTTGCCACCTGCCTAGAAATAAGATTCAGCTGCCAGCCTGGTCCCCTTTTGTTCACGGGGAAAGCACGATCTGGGAGGGATGTGGGCAAGTCTTCAGAAGCAAGCCTCGAGCCCTTCTGCCCCGGTTCTCCCAAAGGCTTGGGATTCAGGACTCAGACTGTGCATGCCCTGCTCAGCAGAGGCTGGCAGATGCCATGGGGCAAAAGGCCAGCTTCCTTCCCCCCAGAGTCCCCCCCCCACGCCTCTGCCCAGGCACTGGGCTATCAGCTGGGTGGCGCGGCTGATAGTCTGCCTCTAAGGATGGCAATGGGGCAACAGGGAGCCCCATCATTTAGGGCAGTGGTCCCCAACCTCGGGCCTCCAGATGTTCTTGGACTTCAACTCCCAGAAATCCTGGCCAGCAGAGGTGGTGGTGAAGGCTTCTGGGAGTTGGTGTCCAAGAACATCTGGAGGCCCAAGGTTGGGGACCACTGATTTAGGGACTCAAACGTGACTTGGAAAAATGGCTCTGGGTCGTGATTCGAATCCAAGTCTGGCCCTCACCCCCCACTCAGAGTCAAGTCATCCGTGCAACTTGAGTCGGACTTGACAGCAAGTTGCGACTCAGGAATCCCCCATCTTTGCTATCTGGTCTTCTGCCTCAGGCAACGGAATGTTCCGGGTCAGCTCTGTTGTGGGTGGACAACCATCGGCAAGCTAGCCAGGGTCTGTTTGGGTGTCAGGTCCTCTTGCTCTTTTCCTGAGGGGCCATCTGGCCCAAAAGGTGAAATGCCTCCCCTCCCTCAGTGAGCCATTCAAAAACAAACCAACCAACCAGCAAGGCTGACATGGCGCCTTCTCTATCCCCCCATTTGAAGGCACCGCAGTGAATGGGCGACTGCATCACCTCAGGTCTGAGGTGGGATCGTGACGTACATCCTTCCCAAATCCGACCGAGGGCCGAGCGGAACAAAGGGCGCACTCACAAACCCAGCCGCCCGCCGACAGAGAGAGCTGTATGTGTTGCTGAATGTGACACGGCTTGGAGGGTAGGGGTGGGTGAGATCTGAAGAGAGACAGACGTTTCCCACACAGGGCTGTGGGCAGCGCCGTGTGTCCCTCGCCACACAGCCACAAATATACTCCCGGTCGGTGACGGCGAGGAGAATCGCACGGCAGCTTTCCGCATGGAAGGATATCCCACAGGATGTGGGTATAAATGCTTCATGGATTCTTTACCACACCGGGAGATTCCTGGCTTTACAAATGAGATTAAAACTGGATTCTGCTCACAGCTTGGAAAAGTTATGTTCTGGGATTACAACTCCCATAATTCCCCCCATTGTCCTGGAAAATTCTGAGCACTCTAGTCCAAAAAAGTAACTTTTCCAAGCTTTGTCCCCACTTCATCTCAGTTAGTAATGCAGGGGAAACAATTTATGGCACAGTTCCTCAGTCTGTCACCTTCTAGCCGGGTGGGACTACAGTGCCCATCCTCCCCTCAGCCCATTCTGGGGAGATGGGAGCTATCGCCCAGCATATTCAGAAGGCGCCTGTTAGAGGAAGCCTAACCTACCCCCTCAAGCCGGAAGTTTCATTTGCCTCAGAAATCCCTCCTGCCCCTTTTCTACCAGAAACTTCCTGAGACGGCTTGCTGTCAAAAAAAAAAATCCATTTTCTCGAAATTGGCACCTGCTCCCTTATCTCGCTCGCTGTGCGGGTTGGGCTTATTTTTGCATGCTTCCTCAATAAAATATTCAAGCAGATTCCAATGTGGATATGTTCAGCCGACTGCTTTATCATATATAATGGAATGCGGAAAATGCAGTGACTAAGTAACAAAAGGAAAAGTCCCTTTTGGAAACATGGGGAAAGCCATATTCCCCAACTGCATGGGGAAGATATCCCACATAAACACACACACAGAGAAAATGCCACTGGGAGCCTGTGTTGCCTGTCTCCAGGAAAGATGGTAGGAAGGCCTAGAGATTCATCCATCTACAGTGGTGCCTTGCTAGACGATGATAATCTGTTCCACTGAAATCGCTGTTTAGCAAAATCATTGTCTAGCGAAAAGCATTTCCCCTTTGGAACGCATTGAAACCTGTTTAATGCGTTCCAATTGGGAAGAATCGTCATTGTCTAGCGAAGATCGGCCATAGAAAAGCCGCTTTGCGAACTGCCGACCCGCTGTTTAAATCGCTGTCTTGCGAAGCTTAGGTCCCGAAAACACCTGTTTTGCGAGCACGGAGGGAGCTGTCAAAATCGTCGTCTAGCGAAAATCGGTTTGCGAAGCAGGTAACAAACATTGTCCTGCGAAATTTCCCCATAGGAACCACTGTTTTGCGAATCACTATAGCGATCGCAAAAAGTCAATGTCTAGCGAAAAAACTGTCATGTGGGGTAACTGTCTAGCGAGGCACCACTGTACTCAGGAAGAAGCCGAGAAGAGCTTGGTTCTTCTTCCTTAGCAGAGACCATGCTCTAGGACAGGATTCCATCAGCCTTCCTGGTGTTTTCTAGATGTGTTGGACTCTTATCGCCCAGAAAGGCAAAACTACCACAGCCAGCCTCCCCCAGCAGCTGTCCTCCCATCACGCCAGACCACACAACTTCTAGAAGTGGCATTCTTGCTAGGTACCAGCTCAGAGATGACTCTCCCTTCTTCTACTGCCACATGTTCTGGAACGACAGAGAGGGAACGGATGATGTCTCTCCCCAACCCTGATAAGCTAATTTCTCATCCCAGGAAATATATCATAAAGGGTTTTAAGGCATGTAAAAAATTTTGGGCAACATGGCTTCAGAATGCCATTAATTGAAATAAAGTACACTGGCTGGAGGATCCTGGAGGTCGTCATCTTAAAAAGTAACTTCTCCAAGCCTCCTGCGTGAATCGAAGCAGTTGCCGAGACCCGGCTGTGACTCGCTTGCCCTCAACTCCGCCAGCCCTTTGCACCAGAGAAACGCAAAGCAGACAAGCCTTGATGCGGGACAAGCAGGTCTGCCGGGAGCATCTCTCCCACCGCCGAAACGCCTCCCCTGGCAACAGTCCTGGTTCCTTCCAGGCCCTGGTTCTCAGGAAGCTTGGAGCCTGGCAGCAATGGAAGTGCCTCGCGAAACACCGAGGGATGAAAGAGGCCTCTGTGAATATCACACAGAGACCGCTACTCTTGACGGCAGGCTGCCTGCAATAACCACAGTGGAAAATCCAATATTTACATTCACTTTGGACACACCATCTTGTGTTTCTACCTTGTGCTCCACCAACAAGCAGCCCAGCAGGGCACGGGGAACAAAGGAGGCAGTGTGGGGGTTAGGGCGCGCTTGGGGGGGGGACCCGTACCTTCGGCCTTCAGAAGAGAGGCCAGCTTTCAAGGGGAAGGGAAGGCTGAATGGAGCAAAGTGGAGGAGCCAAGTTCTCCGGCCACTTCGCGTTGTTTTATGAGCCTGGAGCTAAAAACACACCAGGCTGCGATCTCCACACGACAAACCCACTGGTCTACTAAGGTATACGCAGGAATGTAGGAGTTTTAAAGTGATGCTAGTTCTGTTGGCAGCAAATTCCCCACCCGGTTGTGAACTACGTTATTCTGACCATGCAAAGGATTCAAGTCAAGCAAGGGGGTCTCGCCGACCACCTGAGGACTTGCTCAGCATAGCTGGAAAATAGAAGTATCAACCCTATGGCACTCTGTACGCCCTTCTGCCTGCCTGCATAACGAAGACCAGCACATACAGTAACCAAGAAGCATCCTTAACCCAGAAACCGAGATCACGAACATTTCTGTAGGCTAGGATTTGAAATGTTCCCATTTGACATTCTTGATTAATCTCCTTCCAAAGTCCTTTTCCCTGAAGTGCAACCACGACTGGATGCTTGGATGAAAATGTCCAGAATGGTTATGTTGGCTGAAGGATTCTGGGACTCGTAGTCCAAAATACCAACTTCTCCAAGCTCTATCCAGTTACAAAGCACATATACATTTTTTTCCCTTGCTGTCCATTCCAATTTAAAGTTACATTGCCTACTGATGTTAACCACAAAAGAAACAGACCGGAATTTAGTTTCCCAGTTCCAAATCACAACAGCTGCAATAATCTGCACCAGAGTACAGCATCTATCATCATAAAATGACGATAAAAGCGGTCGAACCATGCAACGGAATCCATATATTCCTTACTTCCTTTTAATTTTAAAGATTTTGTTAAAGGCAAACACGGGATAACCAGTAATCAAACTAAGCTTACAACGTGGTTGCTAATTACAAAATTGATACTCATATGTACATATAAATCATTGTATATCGGGGTATAACTGCTTCTCATTCAGCCAGTCTT